GTTAGTTGTTATGTAATCTATTTCATTCTTATACTGACCATTTGGAGATCGCCAAGTCCATCTACGGCTTGGGTTTTTCTTAAAGTATGTATTGATAATCGATAGTTTCTTTTCAAAAGCAAAATTTATCATTCTCAGACCTCTTTCATTTCTTTGTCCATAACCATATCTTTTTATTATTAAATATTCGTCTTTTCGGGGCTGACCAATCTTTGCATTAAAATCTCCCATAACAATTAGGTTTTTATGGGCGAACTTCATGGCTTTATCTATCGATTTGTAAAATTCATTGATTTCCTCATCATCCGCTGACTCAGTTGGCGCGTATACTTGTATAATGCTTATGTTGTATCCTTGCATGTTGAGATTCAATAATGCGACTCTTTCTGTGACTGCAGTAAAGCCTTCTACGTTTTGTTTTTGAGATATATTTATCAGAAAGCCAACACCGTGTTTTCCTGGAGTCTCTCCCATATAGCATAGAATGAAGTCCTCGTATTCTTCTATTTTTCTGCCGAGGCGTCTGACCTCTGATATGCCAATGATATCATACTTCACCCCCATTAAGGTCTCATGCAGTTCAATCAGTCGCTCGTATGATGAAAGGAACCTGACATTGTACGTTGCCACATAGAGCTTATTATTATTATTTTTTAGTAATCGTGGGTATATTCCTTGGAGGGTAGTGGTCATACTCTTCCACGGTGACCAACCGGGTTGGAAGATAATCTGTATTTTCTCTTTCTTTTCTTGCTATTTCTATTTTTTGAGAGGGGGCCCTGATTGCTAATTGGTTTCGTTTTTGTTATAGTTTCTTTGATTAGTTGTAGATGTTTTATTTACTAAATAGTTTCGAATAGCTTTAGTCTATAAACAAAACACATATCAATACAGAAAAAAATCACGTTTCTTGTACGTTTTTCATAAAAGAAACATGATTTTTTGGGTCCTTTAATATTTTACTTGTTTTCTTTTTTATTTTATGTTGTTATAGCAGCAATATAAATACACATTCTGTGAAAATTCTACATATTACGGTTCATAAGATACAGCCTACTGACAGACAGACGGAACGATAGCGGAGACTTGGGTCCCGTTGATACTCTTTGGGTACGGAACCCTAATAAACGGCAATTATGTCATTTGAGCAATACTACAGAAATAAACATTAAATAATATAGAATTAGGTTATATTATAATAAGTTTAATATATTATATTATAAAATATAGTAACAATAAATTCACATATAAAAATCTCAGTCACGGGGAACTTTATTTTTGCATTCGCGGCAACAGTGAATAGCGTCATTGGTACTCGTATTTTGTGACTTATTTATGGCTCGTGTTATTTAATGTTAAAATTTCGAAATTGTATGATACTTAATGATAGTATGTGATTCCAGTATCTTTCTTATTTCTTGTAGTATTATTTTTACACAGTTTCAATACGTAAACTGGTATTTTATTTCGGATTATGACCAATCTTAATAAAATATGCGGTACGTTCACCTCACACGTTGTCTGTAACGCGACTGGCTCGGGTACGCCGATTTTGGCGTAGTATTTGTTGCAGCATTTTACATGAGCGCCGGCGGTACCTAGTCAGAGCGCGCGAAGACTTATTATTAATCTATGCTCCTCCTTTTTTTTGAAGTCTGTTGAAAAGTCAAGAAACAATTGTTTTGATCACTCTTAACTATGGTTTTGACTAAACGTAGAGATTATATACTCTTTGGTACTGAGAGGTCCTTTCTAAATATTACCTAATACTATTCATTCAATGTATATTAATATACATTGAATGAAACTAATTTTTACGGATTATATCGCGTTTAATTTTAACTTTTTAAAAAAGATTTACAAAAAGCTGACAAGTTAGCAAAACCGGACTAATTTGTTTTTTTGTAATTTATAGCATTTTCTACCGACTTCAAAAAGGAGGAGGTCCTCAATTCGAGTGTATGTTTTTTATGTGTGTTACATCATAACTATTTTCTTGGTGAACCAATTTCGATGATTTTTTTTTCATTTAAAAGCTGGTGGTTATCATGTAGTCTCATATAAATTTCATCAAAGTTTCACCAGTAGTTTTTAAGTTATCCTTAATAATTTATATTTAAGTTCGTTGTACAACATTTTTAATTTTACCACTTGTGTTATTCATACATATTCCAATGACAATGTAGACTGAAGTTATAGTTTGTACGAAAAACGCACATAGCAAGGTATTTTTTGCAGTCTTTACCGGCGTATGTAAGTATAGATAGCGACAGTGTGCGAGCTAGAGGTGAAATAGAGGCGACGCCATTTTCAATCCCATTCGTTAACCGCACGGGTAGTTTGTATTTAATGATTGTGTGTTGGTGTTTTAGAATATGTTTGTAAGCCACATAGGTTGATTTAAATAAATAGATTATGCTATATTGATTTAAATAAATATATAGACCTAGATGTAGATGAAGATAAGCCCTAAGTTGTTTTTGTATCTGTCTTTTGTTTCTTTTTCTCTTTATTTATTTGGGGACATTTGTTTATAGACATGTTCACATTTGTTTGTAAACGTGTTCGAGGAGATTCGTTATAAATTGATAATTGAAAAATTCTTTCCATTCGATATGACATGAATTATTGAATTTTAGCAGTACTTCTGAGTAGCTAAGGTCAATATCATCCTATGTTACGGCCCTCAGTTGCCCCGACACAAGTCGACCGGACTAGGGCCCATGAGTAGCCCACTCGACGGGGAACCAGAGGGTTCGGGCCCAAATGGCCTATGAAGAATTATTATGTAACGGCTGATAAGCAAACACAAACTTACCGAGTTCCGGAGGTAAGGTCGACCACAAGGTACAGTTAGGGGGTAAGTAATGGTAGTGTAAGTGGTGTGCGAAAGTGTGTAAATGTAACTGACGTCACCGAGGTAATCGGACTGCAGACCCACATGCGCTGCGCTGCCCCCAAAGATGTGCGATCACTTGGTAGGGCGTTCACCTTTGTGTAAACTCAAGTCTAACGTCACTTAGCACAAAATTATAATCGAAAACGAACGCAATCTCCTCTCGGGTCACAAATTTTTAGCGTTCTACCGACAAAGGAAAAATGTCTTCGTACGATATTAAAATGCCACACAAGCAACTCGTCGACGCAAATTAATGGCAATCGAAGTTAAGTTAATCACTAAAACTCAAGAAGAGCCTCGTTGTCACGTAAACGCACGAAAAAGACAACGCAATAATAGGCGGTCGTCACGCGGCCTAACGATTCGAGCGCAATTTGCAGACTAGTCGACACGCGGACACGGGCGCCGCGGGCAAGCCGGCCCAAGCCATCAAAACCGGTTGCTAGCCCACACGTCAGGCGACCGAGCCGAGCGTTTCGAATGCAAGTTTTAAATGTTAAGATTTGGCCTAAATATCCTATACACTAATTATACAATCAGAATTCTCTAATCAATCTGTCTCCTCGTTACCTGATAGACTCTTTTGCTTTCTACAACATTACTGTGTAAAAAATTTAGCGCTTAGACTTGTTACTTCATATTTAAGTAACAGAATTCAAAAAGTAGTGATTACTGATAAAGGTTTCTCCGGATCGGTAGTATCAATGGGCGTTCCTCAGGGCTCGATTCTTGGCCCATTCCTGTTTTTAATCTATATTAATGACTTACCTTATCTTGTAGGGGACAATCACGATATAGTATTATTTGCTGACGATACCTCTTTAATTTTCAAACTCAAACGACAGTTAATTAATTATGACGATGTAAATAATGCTCTATCGAAATTGGTACATTGGTTTAACGCCTAATAGAAACAGAAACAGAAACAGAAACTTTTTTATTCAATATAGATTATAAATAATACTTATTGAAAGTCATTCTTTTGTTTGATTACCACTGGTATATAAATAATAAAATTTACAATACCTAATGTAAAACATTCGAATACCAATGTGCTGCTAAATGGGAAGGAGTTGAGTCTTGTGGATACCACTGTTTTTCTTGGTATTACTATTGACGCGAAACTTCAATGGGGCCCCATATATCTAAATTAGAAGTCTCACAGATGTTGAGACAGCTAGATTAGTGTATTTTAGTTACTTTCATAGCGTAATGTCTTATGGAATTTTGTTATGGGGTAATGCGGCTGATATTGAAGCTATATTTGTTTTGCAAAAGAGAACCGTACGGGTGATTTATAACCTACATTGTAAAGAGTCCCTCAGAGAAAAATTTAAAGAAATAAACATATTAACTTTGGCATCGCAATATATTTATGAGAATTTAATGTATGTGCATAAAAACATAAATAGCTTTAATAATAATAAGGATGTGCATACTTTAAATACTAGGAACTAACATAAGCTTGTAATGCCAGTTACTAGACTCCACAGAATCAGTAATTCATTTATGGGGCAATGTATACGCTTTTACAACAAAATCCCAGAACATATTCAAAGTTTGTCAATAAACAAGTTTAAAAGTTTTATTAAAGAAAAACTGTACAAAAAGGGTTATTATAATATCAAGGAATACATTAATGAAAATAACCCCTGGGAATAGAATGATCGCGACCATGCTGGTTCTATGAAAAATCATTTAAAAATTGTATAAACAAAATTATTGTTAAGTGAAATTATGTTTAAAAAAAAGTCCCGCTGGGTTTCTTGTTGGTTCTTCCCAGGACTGAGGTATTTTCCGAACCAGTGGTAAATAAAAAATGACTTTCAATAAGTATTATGTAATAATCAATATTGAATAAAAATTTATTCTATTCTATTCTATTCTATACGAATTTAACCAGGATTGAAATTACCGTATAGGGGCGGTGTAAGAATAACCAATACGCCCTATCATCTCGTGGGTGTTGTAGGAGGTGACAGATGGAAACAACTCAGGAGATGGGCAGCAACATCTCAATAACGACTAAAAATAAAAACCTGCAATTATCCCCCCTATGAGGGACTGTAATGGTGACGGTAAAATCGGGCAGGATACGTACCAATAGCAAACGCCTTTGCGTCGGCGTTGCCCTCCTGTATTGAGTAGAGCAGCTGACCGGAAGGCTGCGTGGGGTCGTCGGGGTCGCTCGCCACCACTTGGAACACCACTGTGCCGATCGTTGCGTTCTGTTTAGTGCAGACAGATAAAATATAGGCATATTTCTTATTTTATTTTAAACGTTACTTCCACACTAGAACCTTCTCTTGTATTGTGGGGGTTTTTATATACTTTTCACAAGGACTATCATCCAGACCCGGAACAATTATTTTTATAGGATTCGAACACCTTGCATTTTGATGCGGCCCTTAGCATTGCAACGAGCATAGCCACTGTACCACGGATCCAACAAAATAGCCTCGAATATAGTAGCTATATGTATATTATTATTTAGTGCCATAGAAGAGCTATGCCGCAATTATACTATAGTTGTAGCACGAATGATCTGCTCGACCGGGGAAGGACGACGCTGTCCCAAAATAGCAGCTAAATGCAATGCTGCGATTCGTACGGTGGGTGAAGAGTATCGAAGACCCTTTTCTACTGAAAACGGGGCATTCCATCTAAGTGGTGGTAGCGTATCTGCATTTTGATTGTTAATCGAGGATAGTGGCCCATAGGCCACAGCATTTACTTACCATCGGGTGGACTGTGTGCGCGTTTGTCATTTTAATTCTATAAAAAAATAACTACATTTTTTATTTCCCTTAATATTGCTTAATTGCTACACAGGAGCAGCATACGAGAATTTCTCAAACCATTTCTTCCAATAGTTTTCGTAAGAGGTGAATTCAGAATGACCTGGAAATCGGAATGTCCTAGATGACGATTTTAGTATCTCGTTTATACCTATGGAGGATGTTAAAACACCCAGACTAGTGACGGAGAGCAGCGTCAAAGGTGCGAGACTTTCTGGTATTGTGATAAGATAGAAGGGGTCCACGTTCAGGATTGATCTTTTATAGGTCATACCATCTATCACCCCATGTCGTCACGTGGCTTTTGTAAGAGGCCAAATAAGTATGATTTTTAATAAATACTGAAATTATAGCGTTCATCCTTATTAAAAAAATGGTATTTAACATATTGCTTGTAAACTTGTGTACGGAAGCAATAAGAGGTCATTGTTATTGTAACATAAGGTCGAAAATATTATAAATTGATAAAATAGCTGTCAATTTAACTCACGCCCACCACCCAGAGGGGTAGACAGAGACTATTCTTTCATTTGGCACTGTTATACGGGGCTTAACCAAATGTCTTTTAAAAAAAACTATTCAGAAATTACAGCTGGATTTTATTATAGAATGAAACAAATTAGGAATTGAAATTGAGAGGCGAGTATTTCGGATATTTTCGACTGACTGCCGTACTGCTAGTGTTTAAAAATGGAATAGTACCGAAGCTACTAAGAGAGTGCTGACTGTGTGCTTTGTGTCAGCGGATCCCTATTAAAAGGGGATCTATAACAACCCCCCCGTTGAGAGGAAACTCACCCTTGAGTGAGTTTACGGCTACTCTATGCGTAGCTGTGGTTGATCATGTGATGATGATTTTCTGTATTTTCTTTGTTAAAATTAAAATGCTCTCTGAAAGACTTTCCTCTCTTACAAATTATATAGGTTATAATAGATATGCAAAGTATTACAGATATAAGACTTATTATAGAGAAACTAACATTATACAAATTTGCGGTCGGACGCACGCACGCGCAGTACGTACGGTTCACTGACCTCGGTGACGTGCAGGCGGTCGCTGGCGGCGGGACGCAGGAAGCGCGGCACGCCGTCGTTAGCGCTCACGTCGCCCACGTACAGAGCGAGCTGCGCGTCGCCATAGTGCCCGCTGCGGTCGGACGCACGCACGCGCAGTACGTACGGTTCACTGACCTCGGTGACGTGCAGGCGGTCGCTGGCGGCGGGACGCAGGAAGCGCGGCACGCCGTCGTTAGCGCTCACGTCGCCCACGTACAGAGCGAGCTGCGCGTCGCCATAGTGCCCGCTGCGGTCGGACGCACGCACGCGCAGTACGTACGGTTCACTGACCTCGGTGACGTGCAGGCGGTCGCTGGCGGCGGGACGCAGGAAGCGCGGCACGCCGTCGTTAGCGCTCACGTGGCCCACGTACAGAGCGAGCTGCGCGTCGCCATAGTGCCCGCTGCGGTCGGACGCACGCACGCGCAGTACGTACGGTTCACTGACCTCGGTGACGTGCAGGCGGTCGCTGGCGGCGGGACGCAGGAAGCGCGGCACGCCGTCGTTAGCGCTCACGTCGCCCACGTACAGAGCGAGCTGCGCGTCGCCATAGTGCCCGCTGCGGTCGGACGCACGCACGCGCAGTACGTACGGTTCACTGACCTCGGTGACGTGCAGGCGGTCGCTGGCGGCGGGACGCAGGAAGCGCGGCACGCCGTCGTTAGCGCTCACGTCGCCCACGTACAGAGCGAGCTGCGCGTCGCCATAGTGCCCGCTGCGGTCGGACGCACGCACGCGCAGTACGTACGGTTCACTGACCTCGGTGACGTGCAGGCGGTCGCTGGCGGCGGGACGCAGGAAGCGCGGCACGCCGTCGTTAGCGCTCACGTCGCCCACGTACAGAGCGAGCTGCGCGTCGCCATAGTGCCCGCTGCGGTCGGACGCACGCACGCGCAGTACGTACGGTTCACTGACCTCGGTGACGTGCAGGCGGTCGCTGGCGGCGGGACGCAGGAAGCGCGGCACGCCGTCGTTAGCGCTCACGTCGCCCACGTACAGAGCGAGCTGCGCGTCGCCATAGTGCCCGCTGCGGTCGGACGCACGCACGCGCAGTACGTACGGTTCACTGACCTCGGTGACGTGCAGGCGGTCGCTGGCGGCGGGACGCAGGAAGCGCGGCACGCCGTCGTTAGCGCTCACGTCGCCCACGTACAGAGCGAGCTGCGCGTCGCCATAGTGCCCGCTGCGGTCGGACGCACGCACGCGCAGTACGTACGGTTCACTGACCTCGGTGACGTGCAGGCGGTCGCTGGCGGCGGGACGCAGGAAGCGCGGCACGCCGTCGTTAGCGCTCACGTCGCCCACGTACAGAGCGAGCTGCGCGTCGCCATAGTGCCCGCTGCGGTCGGACGCACGCACGCGCAGTACGTACGGTTCACTGACCTCGGTGACGTGCAGGCGGTCGCTGGCGGCGGGACGCAGGAAGCGCGGCACGCCGTCGTTAGCGCTCACGTCGCCCACGTACAGAGCGAGCTGCGCGTCGCCATAGTGCCCGCTGCGGTCGGACGCACGCACGCGCAGTACGTACGGTTCACTGACCTCGGTGACGTGCAGGCGGTCGCTGGCGGCGGGACGCAGGAAGCGCGGCACGCCGTCGTTAGCGCTCACGTCGCCCACGTACAGAGCGAGCTGCGCGTCGCCATAGTGCCCGCTGCGGTCGGACGCACGCACGCGCAGTACGTACGGTTCACTGACCTCGGTGACGTGCAGGCGGTCGCTGGCGGCGGGACGCAGGAAGCGCGGCACGCCGTCGTTAGCGCTCACGTCGCCCACGTACAGAGCGAGCTGCGCGTCGCCATAGTGCCCGCTGCGGTCGGACGCACGCACGCGCAGTACGTACGGTTCACTGACCTCGGTGACGTGCAGGCGGTCGCTGGCGGCGGGACGCAGGAAGCGCGGCACGCCGTCGTTAGCGCTCACGTCGCCCACGTACAGAGCGAGCTGCGCGTCGCCATAGTGCCCGCTGCGGTCGGACGCACGCACGCGCAGTACGTACGGTTCACTGACCTCGGTGACGTGCAGGCGGTCGCTGGCGGCGGGACGCAGGAAGCGCGGCACGCCGTCGTTAGCGCTCACGTCGCCCACGTACAGAGCGAGCTGCGCGTCGCCATAGTGCCCGCTGCGGTCGGACGCACGCACGCGCAGTACGTACGGTTCACTGACCTCGGTGACGTGCAGGCGGTCGCTGGCGGCGGGACGCAGGAAGCGCGGCACGCCGTCGTTAGCGCTCACGTCGCCCACGTACAGAGCGAGCTGCGCGTCGCCATAGTGCCCGCTGCGGTCGGACGCACGCACGCGCAGTACGTACGGTTCACTGACCTCGGTGACGTGCAGGCGGTCGCTGGCGGCGGGACGCAGGAAGCGCGGCACGCCGTCGTTAGCGCTCACGTCGCCCACGTACAGAGCGAGCTGCGCGTCGCCATAGTGCCCGCTGCGGTCGGACGCACGCACGCGCAGTACGTACGGTTCACTGACCTCGGTGACGTGCAGGCGGTCGCTGGCGGCGGGACGCAGGAAGCGCGGCACGCCGTCGTTAGCGCTCACGTCGCCCACGTACAGAGCGAGCTGCGCGTCGCCATAGTGCCCGCTGCGGTCGGACGCACGCACGCGCAGTACGTACGGTTCACTGACCTCGGTGACGTGCAGGCGGTCGCTGGCGGCGGGACGCAGGAAGCGCGGCACGCCGTCGTTAGCGCTCACGTCGCCCACGTACAGAGCGAGCTGCGCGTCGCCATAGTGCCCGCTGCGGTCGGACGCACGCACGCGCAGTACGTACGGTTCACTGACCTCGGTGACGTGCAGGCGGTCGCTGGCGGCGGGACGCAGGAAGCGCGGCACGCCGTCGTTAGCGCTCACGTCGCCCACGTACAGAGCGAGCTGCGCGTCGCCATAGTGCCCGCTGCGGTCGGACGCACGCACGCGCAGTACGTACGGTTCACTGACCTCGGTGACGTGCAGGCGGTCGCTGGCGGCGGGACGCAGGAAGCGCGGCACGCCGTCGTTAGCGCTCACGTCGCCCACGTACAGAGCGAGCTGCGCGTCGCCATAGTGCCCGCTGCGGTCGGACGCACGCACGCGCAGTACGTACGGTTCACTGACCTCGGTGACGTGCAGGCGGTCGCTGGCGGCGGGACGCAGGAAGCGCGGCACGCCGTCGTTAGCGCTCACGTCGCCCACGTACAGAGCGAGCTGCGCGTCGCCATAGTGCCCGCTGCGGTCGGACGCACGCACGCGCAGTACGTACGGTTCACTGACCTCGGTGACGTGCAGGCGGTCGCTGGCGGCGGGACGCAGGAAGCGCGGCACGCCGTCGTTAGCGCTCACGTCGCCCACGTACAGAGCGAGCTGCGCGTCGCCATAGTGCCCGCTGCGGTCGGACGCACGCACGCGCAGTACGTACGGTTCACTGACCTCGGTGACGTGCAGGCGGTCGCTGGCGGCGGGACGCAGGAAGCGCGGCACGCCGTCGTTAGCGCTCACGTCGCCCACGTACAGAGCGAGCTGCGCGTCGCCATAGTGCCCGCTGCGGTCGGACGCACGCACGCGCAGTACGTACGGTTCACTGACCTCGGTGACGTGCAGGCGGTCGCTGGCGGCGGGACGCAGGAAGCGCGGCACGCCGTCGTTAGCGCTCACGTCGCCCACGTACAGAGCGAGCTGCGCGTCGCCATAGTGCCCGCTGCGGTCGGACGCACGCACGCGCAGTACGTACGGTTCACTGACCTCGGTGACGTGCAGGCGGTCGCTGGCGGCGGGACGCAGGAAGCGCGGCACGCCGTCGTTAGCGCTCACGTCGCCCACGTACAGAGCGAGCTGCGCGTCGCCATAGTGCCCGCTGCGGTCGGACGCACGCACGCGCAGTACGTACGGTTCACTGACCTCGGTGACGTGCAGGCGGTCGCTGGCGGCGGGACGCAGGAAGCGCGGCACGCCGTCGTTAGCGCTCACGTCGCCCACGTACAGAGCGAGCTGCGCGTCGCCATAGTGCCCGCTGCGGTCGGACGCACGCACGCGCAGTACGTACGGTTCACTGACCTCGGTGACGTGCAGGCGGTCGCTGGCGGCGGGACGCAGGAAGCGCGGCACGCCGTCGTTAGCGCTCACGTCGCCCACGTACAGAGCGAGCTGCGCGTCGCCATAGTGCCCGCTGCGGTCGGACGCACGCACGCGCAGTACGTACGGTTCACTGACCTCGGTGACGTGCAGGCGGTCGCTGGCGGCGGGACGCAGGAAGCGCGGCACGCCGTCGTTAGCGCTCACGTCGCCCACGTACAGAGCGAGCTGCGCGTCGCCATAGTGCCCGCTGCGGTCGGACGCACGCACGCGCAGTACGTACGGTTCACTGACCTCGGTGACGTGCAGGCGGTCGCTGGCGGCGGGACGCAGGAAGCGCGGCACGCCGTCGTTAGCGCTCACGTCGCCCACGTACAGAGCGAGCTGCGCGTCGCCATAGTGCCCGCTGCGGTCGGACGCACGCACGCGCAGTACGTACGGTTCACTGACCTCGGTGACGTGCAGGCGGTCGCTGGCGGCGGGACGCAGGAAGCGCGGCACGCCGTCGTTAGCGCTCACGTCGCCCACGTACAGAGCGAGCTGCGCGTCGCCATAGTGCCCGCTGCGGTCGGACGCACGCACGCGCAGTACGTACGGTTCACTGACCTCGGTGACGTGCAGGCGGTCGCTGGCGGCGGGACGCAGGAAGCGCGGCACGCCGTCGTTAGCGCTCACGTCGCCCACGTACAGAGCGAGCTGCGCGTCGCCATAGTGCCCGCTGCGGTCGGACGCACGCACGCGCAGTACGTACGGTTCACTGACCTCGGTGACGTGCAGGCGGTCGCTGGCGGCGGGACGCAGGAAGCGCGGCACGCCGTCGTTAGCGCTCACGTCGCCCACGTACAGAGCGAGCTGCGCGTCGCCATAGTGCCCGCTGCGGTCGGACGCACGCACGCGCAGTACGTACGGTTCACTGACCTCGGTGACGTGCAGGCGGTCGCTGGCGGCGGGACGCAGGAAGCGCGGCACGCCGTCGTTAGCGCTCACGTCGCCCACGTACAGAGCGAGCTGCGCGTCGCCATAGTGCCCGCTGCGGTCGGACGCACGCACGCGCAGTACGTACGGTTCACTGACCTCGGTGACGTGCAGGCGGTCGCTGGCGGCGGGACGCAGGAAGCGCGGCACGCCGTCGTTAGCGCTCACGTCGCCCACGTACAGAGCGAGCTGCGCGTCGCCATAGTGCCCGCTGCGGTCGGACGCACGCACGCGCAGTACGTACGGTTCACTGACCTCGGTGACGTGCAGGCGGTCGCTGGCGGCGGGACGCAGGAAGCGCGGCACGCCGTCGTTAGCGCTCACGTCGCCCACGTACAGAGCGAGCTGCGCGTCGCCATAGTGCCCGCTGCGGTCGGACGCACGCACGCGCAGTACGTACGGTTCACTGACCTCGGTGACGTGCAGGCGGTCGCTGGCGGCGGGACGCAGGAAGCGCGGCACGCCGTCGTTAGCGCTCACGTCGCCCACGTACAGAGCGAGCTGCGCGTCGCCATAGTGCCCGCTGCGGTCGGACGCACGCACGCGCAGTACGTACGGTTCACTGACCTCGGTGACGTGCAGGCGGTCGCTGGCGGCGGGACGCAGGAAGCGCGGCACGCCGTCGTTAGCGCTCACGTCGCCCACGTACAGAGCGAGCTGCGCGTCGCCATAGTGCCCGCTGCGGTCGGACGCACGCACGCGCAGTACGTACGGTTCACTGACCTCGGTGACGTGCAGGCGGTCGCTGGCGGCGGGACGCAGGAAGCGCGGCACGCCGTCGTTAGCGCTCACGTCGCCCACGTACAGAGCGAGCTGCGCGTCGCCATAGTGCCCGCTGCGGTCGGACGCACGCACGCGCAGTACGTACGGTTCACTGACCTCGGTGACGTGCAGGCGGTCGCTGGCGGCGGGACGCAGGAAGCGCGGCACGCCGTCGTTAGCGCTCACGTCGCCCCACGTACAGAGCGAGCTGCGCGTCGCCATAGTGCCCGCTGCGGTCGGACGCACGCACGCGCAGTACGTACGGTTCACTGACCTCGGTGACGTGCAGGCGGTCGCTGGCGGCGGGACGCAGGAAGCGCGGCACGCCGTCGTTAGCGCTCACGTCGCCCACGTACAGAGCGAGCTGCGCGTCGCCATAGTGCCCGCTGCGGTCGGACGCACGCACGCGCAGTACGTACGGTTCACTGACCTCGGTGACGTGCAGGCGGTCGCTGGCGGCGGGACGCAGGAAGCGCGGCACGCCGTCGTTAGCGCTCACGTCGCCCACGTACAGAGCGAGCTGCGCGTCGCCATAGTGCCCGCTGCGGTCGGACGCACGCACGCGCAGTACGTACGGTTCACTGACCTCGGTGACGTGCAGGCGGTCGCTGGCGGCGGGACGCAGGAAGCGCGGCACGCCGTCGTTAGCGCTCACGTCGCCCACGTACAGAGCGAGCTGCGCGTCGCCATAGTGCCCGCTGCGGTCGGACGCACGCACGCGCAGTACGTACGGTTCACTGACCTCGGTGACGTGCAGGCGGTCGCTGGCGGCGGGACGCAGGAAGCGCGGCACGCCGTCGTTAGCGCTCACGTCGCCCACGTACAGAGCGAGCTGCGCGTCGCCATAGTGCCCGCTGCGGTCGGACGCACGCACGCGCAGTACGTACGGTTCACTGACCTCGGTGACGTGCAGGCGGTCGCTGCGGCGGGACGCAGGAAGCGCGGCACGCCGTCGTTAGCGCTCACGTCGCCCACCACGTACAGAGCGAGCTGCGCGTCGCCATAGTGCCCGCTGCGGTCGGACGCACGCACGCGCAGTACGTACGGTTCACTGACCTCGGTGACGTGCAGGCGGTCGCTGGCGGCGGGACGCAGGAAGCGCGGCACGCCGTCGTTAGCGCTCACGTCGCCCACGTACAGAGCGAGCTGCGCGTCGCCATAGTGCCCGCTGCGGTCGGACGCACGCACGCGCAGTACGTACGGTTCACTGACCTCGGTGACGTGCAGGCGGTCGCTGGCGGCGGGACGCAGGAAGCGCGGCACGCCGTCGTTAGCGCTCACGTCGCCCACGTACAGAGCGAGCTGCGCGTCGCCATAGTGCCCGCTGCGGTCGGACGCACGCACGCGCAGTACGTACGGTTCACTGACCTCGGTGACGTGCAGGCGGTCGCTGGCGGCGGGACGCAGGAAGCGCGGCACGCCGTCGTTAGCGCTCACGTCGCCCACGTACAGAGCGAGCTGCGCGTCGCCATAGTGCCCGCTGCGGTCGGACGCACGCACGCGCAGTACGTACGGTTCACTGACCTCGGTGACGTGCAGGCGGTCGCTGGCGGCGGGACGCAGGAAGCGCGGCACGCCGTCGTTAGCGCTCACGTCGCCCACGTACAGAGCGAGCTGCGCGTCGCCATAGTGCCCGCTGCGGTCGGACGCACGCACGCGCAGTACGTACGGTTCACTGACCTCGGTGACGTGCAGGCGGTCGCTGGCGGCGGGACGCAGGAAGCGCGGCACGCCGTCGTTAGCGCTCACGTCGCCCACGTACAGAGCGAGCTGCGCGTCGCCATAGTGCCCGCTGCGGTCGGACGCACGCACGCGCAGTACGTACGGTTCACTGACCTCGGTGACGTGCAGGCGGTCGCTGGCGGCGGGACGCAGGAAGCGCGGCACGCCGTCGTTAGCGCTCACGTCGCCCACGTACAGAGCGAGCTGCGCGTCGCCATAGTGCCCGCTGCGGTCGGACGCACGCACGCGCAGTACGTACGGTTCACTGACCTCGGTGACGTGCAGGCGGTCGCTGGCGGCGGGACGCAGGAAGCGCGGCACGCCGTCGTTAGCGCTCACGTCGCCCACGTACAGAGCGAGCTGCGCGTCGCCATAGTGCCCGCTGCGGTCGGACGCACGCACGCGCAGTACGTACGGTTCACTGACCTCGGTGACGTGCAGGCGGTCGCTGGCGGCGGGACGCAGGAAGCGCGGCACGCCGTCGTTAGCGCTCACGTCGCCCACGTACAGAGCGAGCTGCGCGTCGCCATAGTGCCCGCTGCGGTCGGACGCACGCACGCGCAGTACGTACGGTTCACTGACCTCGGTGACGTGCAGGCGGTCGCTGGCGGCGGGACGCAGGAAGCGCGGCACGCCGTCGTTAGCGCTCACGTCGCCCACGTACAGAGCGAGCTGCGCGTCGCCATAGTGCCCGCTGCGGTCGGACGCACGCACGCGCAGTACGTACGGTTCACTGACCTCGGTGACGTGCAGGCGGTCGCTGGCGGCGGGACGCAGGAAGCGCGGCACGCCGTCGTTAGCGCTCACGTCGCCCACGTACAGAGCGAGCTGCGCGTCGCCATAGTGCCCGCTGCGGTCGGACGCACGCACGCGCAGTACGTACGGTTCACTGACCTCGGTGACGTGCAGGCGGTCGCTGGCGGCGGGACGCAGGAAGCGCGGCACGCCGTCGTTAGCGCTCACGTCGCCCACGTACAGAGCGAGCTGCGCGTCGCCATAGTGCCCGCTGCGGTCGGACGCACGCACGCGCAGTACGTACGGTTCACTGACCTCGGTGACGTGCAGGCGGTCGCTGGCGGCGGGACGCAGGAAGCGCGGCACGCCGTCGTTAGCGCTCACGTCGCCCACGTACAGAGCGAGCTGCGCGTCGCCATAGTGCCCGCTGCGGTCGGACGCACGCACGCGCAGTACGTACGGTTCACTGACCTCGGTGACGTGCAGGCGGTCGCTGGCGGCGGGACGCAGGAAGCGCGGCACGCCGTCGTTAGCGCTCACGTCGCCCACGTACAGAGCGAGCTGCGCGTCGCCATAGTGCCCGCTGCGGTCGGACGCACGCACGCGCAGTACGTACGGTTCACTGACCTCGGTGACGTGCAGGCGGTCGCTGGCGGCGGGACGCAGGAAGCGCGGCACGCCGTCGTTAGCGCTCACGTCGCCCACGTACAGAGCGAGCTGCGCGTCGCCATAGTGCCCGCTGCGGTCGGACGCACGCACGCGCAGTACGTACGGTTCACTGACCTCGGTGACGTGCAGGCGGTCGCTGGCGGCGGGACGCAGGAAGCGCGGCACGCCGTCGTTAGCGCTCACGTCGCCCACGTACAGAGCGAGCTGCGCGTCGCCATAGTGCCCGCTGCGGTCGGACGCACGCACGCGCAGTACGTACGGTTCACTGACCTCGGTGACGTGCAGGCGGTCGCTGGCGGCGGGACGCAGGAAGCGCGGCACGCCGTCGTTAGCGCTCACGTCGCCCACGTACAGAGCGAGCTGCGCGTCGCCATAGTGCCCGCTGCGGTCGGACGCACGCACGCGCAGTACGTACGGTTCACTGACCTCGGTGACGTGCAGGCGGTCGCTGGCGGCGGGACGCAGGAAGCGCGGCACGCCGTCGTTAGCGCTCACGTCGCCCACGTACAGAGCGAGCTGCGCGTCGCCATAGTGCCCGCTGCGGTCGGACGCACGCACGCGCAGTACGTACGGCTGCGTGCGCCCGCGACCCGTTAGTGCACCGCGGCTACGAATTTCACCCGTCGAACTCTCGATCAAGAACAGACCTACCAGCCACAACGAAATATACATAAGTTAATATTTAAAAGAAGAAAAAAACAAAGTAACATGGAATAAAATTAATTTTACGGGTTTCGTCGCGTCTAATTTTAACTTTTATATTTCCCGGCGTTCCAAATTTTAATAGAGAAGGTGGTTGGGTGCTGCCATCTAATTGGGATCCCATAAATCATAAAATTAATTCAAACATACTACTGTAAGTTCAATATCAAATCAAAAATGTGTAGTCAAAAGATAAAGGTAGCATTCATTAACTATGACATCAGGACATCAAATACCTCAGCTCCCCGTGACCATGGGTAATGTAAAATACCTGAAAAAACGGTAATAAAAAGGTTTAAAATAAAAGCTATAGAATCCGTAAAATTAGTTTTAATACATGTGTAGTATTCACATAAATATAAGTATAGTCCGTACGAATAAAGAATGGGATTAAAAATGGCGGCTCATTGAGCCCGTACCGTCAGCATGTATAGTACCAATAGCGAAAACCCGCTAATAACGGTATATCGTTGTAGTGTTATATTATTCGGTTAATTGGAAATTTTGTTGGTGAAGACAAGGTTGGGTGCGACATCACTGCATGAACATGCGTCACGTAGTTTTAGCAGCGGGGGGAAGGGGAGTGGGCAAAATGTGGTAGCGGTTCGCCGGTCGGACAGAACGACTTCACTCACGTTATCTATCGCACGGTTACATTGTCGCGTTAACTCTACAGAGTTAACTTACACACACGGAGTTAACAAACACTTATTACACCAATTCAGTACAGTCCAAGGTGTACAGGGCACTGTCCTCAACATTCTATTAATGGGGAAATATTTAGATAAACACTTACCATTAGCCTCTCCTTCATCCAGAAACTCGTACCTAACTTCGCCTCCGAGTCCCTCATCAGGGTCGGTAGCAGTAATATTAATCACGCTGAAGCCGGCGGGTACATTTTCTGGCACAACGGCTGTTATAAAGAGAAGTATTATTAAAAGTACATAAAGGAAATTTATCTAGCTTAGCCTATATACGTCCCACCGCTGGCCATAGGCCACCTGAGAAGTTTAAGGAGCAATTATATACAAGCAAATATAATCAATTATATAGAGCCGTGGTAGCACAGATGGTTAGCGCTCGCTGTGAGTTTCACAGTACACACGAGCAACCTGGGTTCGATCCCCGCAGACACAAATGAAATTGTTAATTGCAATTATAAGTGCTTATTTACCACGTGCTCGGCGGCTAAAGAAAACATGCATGACTAAGAAATACTCGTAAGAAAAGAAATATATCGAAGACGTGTAAAGTTCGCTAACACGCATTGGGGCAGCACGGCGGGCATTTCTTTGCCCTAA